GTCATTCTTACCCAAGATTATGAAAAAATAATCTAACCCATCCCGGGCTACTGCTACACACTAATAGTTTATAGGGAGAAAGAGGAGGAGAATTGAACGGCTAGTAAGCTGATAACTGGTGAAATTATAAAATTAATTGTTTACCTTATATTGAAGGAGGTCCAGTGCTGACGGCCAACAGGTCCAACCAGGGTGTGGGCGATAGGCTGGCGGATGAGGGTAGTTAAGTAGTACGCCCGCCAGGCATAATTTGAGGTTACCCAAACGCGTGTGAACGATACTCCACCAACACCACAACTACCATGAACGACCCAAGACCTGAAATATGAGGTGAAGGTTGATAACGATAAACACACACACAAAACACTTACTCATATCTGTCCATTACCACCACAAGTTACCTAATATGGATAAATATCAGTGTACTAATCCTATAACAAGAAAATGGAATTATAATATCGAAAATTTTATATAAGTTGCGTTAAAAGATGATCAAACATAACATACCATCGGTTGGATCAGAACCTTTCAAAATGAAGGCTTTTTTTACGGGATTAACCCACCAGGTCACAGGTCAATGACCCACACCAGGGACTAGGGCGAAAATATATTCATAATAATAATAAATGGCCATAAGTAAAAAAAATAAAAAAGATCAATACTGAGAAACGATATATGTATGTTGTGTTGTCAAAGTAAGAGAAACAATTGAGACCCTGCAATTGTGCGTAAATGAGACAGAGTCAGTCAGATCAGCAACCTGGGACGTGTTCACAATTTTTGTGATGCCATATAGCAGCAGGGTCTACCATTAGACAACACATTATGCTTCCAATATCTTCCAGGGCGATATTAACTCTGTTTGATAGCTGCTTAGTACCTACCTTACGGTTAAATCCGTAAATTAACATTTAGATTAATCAAGCTCACTCTTTTAACAAGAAAATTAACCGAACAATACCTTAAATCGTCGTTTTCTTCATCAATTATGTCGTGCACCCGCCGTCAACTGTCAGTCTCGGCACTAACCTTGGTTTGTTTATCTTTGCAGTGAACCAAGGTCCGGACGTTCAGTAAAGGATCGTTCGTTACTCGGGAACAATTAGTGAGTTGCCAACTTCCTTTGTGAATTAATTTATATAATTACCGTGATGGCTCGTTTTTTAAGGGTGTTATAGAGGAAAAAGTGAAAGAAATAATTAGGCGTTTTAGATGCCCGGAATAGCTAACGCGTTAGCTTTCCTAGACCTGCCATTAAAAAATACGCCATTGTCAATAATTTATTAAGTTTTTACTGTAAGTTAGGTAAGGTTTTATTGTTTAAAAGTTAGGCAGATACTGGTGTAGCCAAGACTAAAGTTACGTAAAGTTAGATTTTGACTTATGATTCCATAAAATGCTGACGTAACCTTGAATGAATTTATGTAGGTCAAGGCTTAAATGTTTATCTTCATACTAACTACTGTATAGTGTTATCTGTACTAATGAGTGAACAGGCATCAGGTCATCATATACTGGAACATAGTGTGAAGATATTACTGTAAAATATAATGAATGTGGGAAATTCTGTACCCAAATATTTCCTGGACGTTAAGAGATTGGAGTTGGAACATTTGGGGATTGTATGAAATAAAATGCACAGGTTCAAGTAATATTAATGGACAAGATTTTTACTTCATATATTCATGTGGTGAAAAGTATGAGTGAGGTGTTTGTAAACTAGCAGGTAGTTGTGTAAAAGGATATATTGGGCAGTGTCAGGTAGTTCTGTTAGTTAAGTTTAATGCTAAATACAATGACTTGGCAATAAGAAATTAAAACGAAAATATAACAATAATCAATCAGCTTTCGAAAATTTCAAAACAGACAGGGATAGAATAAGGATTTAACCCATATCTGACCTGTAGTAACCTGTAACCTGTCATCTTAACCATTACCTGACCTGTAACCAGTTATCTTAACCTCTACCTGACCTGTAATAACCTGTAACCTGTCATCTTAGCCTCTACCTGACCTGTAGTAACCTGTAACCAGTCATCTTAGCACCTGTCAAAAATCTGGCATCATATTCTCTCTCCTCCCTCACCTTCATCCTCACCCCAGCTTCTTCGACAAAGGGATCTACCATAGTCTAGCCTCCATTTCCTTACCTTTGATCACCTCTCTCCCTCCCACCCACCTTCCCTCACTTTCCCTAACACCCCTACCTCCCTCCCAACGCATGCTCTCCTCTACCTCTTCGTCACGTTTTTCATTTACGAGGCGCGCTCTGCAACGCACCAATCACTGCCCCCGTCTTGGCTGGCTCCCCCCGAGTTTTTGCGGCCACCCTTCAAAGAGCTTTGGTTGCAAAGGGGTGGCTGCAGAATGGGTTCTTGACCACGGTGAATCCTTCCATTGCTCATTCTCAAAAGGGGGTTTCCATCTCCCTTTCTGAGCGACTATGATGGTTGATAATAATAGACGTATTGTTAGCGATTAAAAATGAGGAACAAGTGTAGATATATCTGATTTCACTACTTTATATATTTTTTTAAGTAGGGCTGTAACCGCTTGAGCTATACCAACCGATGGTCTCTCCCCTCTCTCTCTTCCTAAAACCCTTTAAGCAATGGAAAAAGAAAGAAAACCCGTATTGCAGACCTGACTTGAAATTCAAATAGGGTCTTTCCTCCATCTATACACCACACCACCAGGACACAACTTCCCCTTCCATGCTGATGCACTGTCCTTAAAGTTGGGATGTTGTGATGAGTGAGAAAATAGTTGTAGTGTTATTGTTTTTTTCATTCATGTTGATATAGTGCTTTAGCCTAACCTAACCTAATTTAACCTAATGCAAACCTTACCTAACTTAACCTAACCTGCAGCTCCCTCCCCTAGAACCTGTTGATTTTAGAGGTGGTATCTTAGTTTTAGAAGTTAATTAAGGTTGAGCTGCTATTCTTACACCTGTGTCATGTGTAGTTAATATTAGTGGGTTGTACTTCCCTCCACCTCCCTTGTAACCTGTAGCTACCTGTAACCTATGATCTGTTACCTGGACCTGGACCTAACCAGTAACATTTACCCTGCCTGTAACCTGTAGCCCACCTGAACTGTAACTTGTAACGTATAGTCTGTTGCCTGTACCTGACCTGTAACCTGTCTAAAAGTTAATTATAAACTAAATTATCTCTGTAACTGCTGGCTTGTTGTCCTTATTACTGTCCTCCCCACACACTATAGCCCTGTCACTGTCCTCCCCATCTCCCACACACTGTAGCCCTGTCACTGTCCTCCCCAGCTCCCACACACTGTAGCCCTGTCACTGTCCTCCTCAGCCTCGTCCCACGGCTCCACCACCACCACTTGTCTTGCACCTCACACGTAGTCCAACACCAGCCAGTCATTACACCCCGCACCAGTAAACATAACCAGCTTTATGAGTCAAAGATGCCGGCAGCATCTCAGCGCGTGCAATCTAATCTTTTTACTACCACACAAAGTAGCCACCACGCGACCTCACAATGTGTTGCACACGAGCTTGCAATAGCCGTGCAACATTTTTACGCTGGGTATATAGTGTCGGGTTGAGGCGGGTACCTGGAGCACCCTCTGGCCGGGTCTGCACTGGTCAACACCATTCACGCCGGACCCTTGGATACACCTTTTTGTCCGCGAGGGACCGCCACCACCATCGTTTTTTCGGGCCTGGGTATTTTTTTGTTGTCATATCCCTCCCCTGGTGGCTCAACTAAGACCCTTCCGCAGGGCTAACTACTTCTGCTTGATCATTAACCATCAAATCACTTGAATGTCTCTGTGTTCAGGCGCTTTTAAATTCAACTTTGTGTGGCCCGTCGGCCATAAGGTAGGGTGAAGTACACACACATAACCATATAGTGCATTATGAGTGTTGTCAGTCAGTGGTTGACGAGCAGCCAGGTGTTTGGAGAAGTGGAGGACAACCTGACGGTGGCACAGCTGGGTGCGGCCCTCCACCAGTACAAGAAGAACCTTTATCACCACAAACTTCAAACGCTGCTATAATGGATATTCCCACAGGTGACATAAGGAAATATCTCATCTGTTTCTATCGTGTTTGTTACCAGTAGCACCTGACATGTAACAGCATATGTAACAACATTTATCGTTCCTCCAGAGACATTATCCAGGAGGAACATAGGTCAAGCAGTGTACGAAGAAGCACGCAGGAACATAACTCACAGCGGAGCATCAACCAGCAGACCAAGGGTTGTGGTGTGGTAGCTCTGCGTCGTCTCCCCGCCACCCTGCAACACGCCCATACACGCGTGCTACACCTCTATTCCTCTGCGGAGCGCCGCTATTATGAGCCCTTTAAGAATCAAAGAACCCGTGCCCGTCACAATATTGCACACGAGCTTGCAACACCCTGCAACATTTTTACATCTGGGAGAGAAAGCTGACGGGCCACCCCGGTTACCTGGGGTGTGTGGGGAAAACTGTTGCAGCGGTCCAACCCATTCAGCACCCCACCCCACTACACGGTTTTTGTGATGCAGGGCCCCTGGCTCAGGTTTTTTTGTGTCTCCTTCTTGCTTTTTACAGCGTCGCTGATGACGACGAGATGCAAAGATTTTTTTGTTACCGGAAACTACTTGGGGCCTCCGCTGATACACGCCACACACCACCTCCCTCCCTCCCTCCTCGTCTTGTAGCGACGGCCAAGACACTTCTGCCTCCACACCACCAGACAACACCTCGCTTGGTAGTTACAGGACATCACTTGTGGTGGGGGGAAATAATTAGTGGTTGCATTTGATACTCACAGAGACGCGGTATTGTTGGTGAGTTGGTGGTGGTGATGATGGAGAGTTGGGGTGGTGGTGATGCTGGAGAGTTGGTGGTGGTGATGATGGAGAGTTGGGGTGGTGGTGATGCTGGAGAGTTGGTGGTGGTGGTGATGATGGAGTTGGGGTGGTGGTGATGCTGGAGAGTTGGTGGTGGTGATGATCATAGAGGGTTGGTGGTGGTAGTTATTGAATGGGCGGGGTGGGTAGTTGTTGGGTGGGCGGGGTAGTTGTTGAGTGAGCGGGTAGTTGTTGGAGTGGGTGAGGTAGTTGTTGAGTGAGCGGGGTAGTTGCTGAGTGAGTGGGTAGTTGTTGAGTGGGCGGGGGTATTTGTTGAGTGGGCGGGTAGTTGTTGAGTGGGTGGGTAGTTGTTGAGTGGGCGGGGTAGTTGTTGAGTGGGCGGGTAGTTGTTGAGTGGGCGGGTAGTTGTTGAGTGGGCGGGGTAGTTGTGGAGTGGGCGGGTAGTTGTTGAGTGGGCGGGTAGTTGTTGAGCGGCGGTAGTTGTTGAGGGGCGGGTAGTTGTTGAGTGGGCGGCAGTTGTTGAGTGGGCGGGGTAGTTGTTGGAGTGGGCGGGGTAGTTGTTGAGTGGGGCGGGTAGTTGTTGAGTGGGCGGGTAGTTGTTGAGTGGGCGGGTAGTTGTTGAGTGGCGGGGTAGGTTGTTGAGTGGGTGGGGTAGTTGTTGAGTGGGCGGGGTAGTTGTTGAGTGGGTGGGGTAGTTGTTGAGTGGGCGGGTAGTTGTTGAGTGGGCGGGTGAAGTTGAGTGGTGGGGGTATGTTGAGTGGGCGGGGTAGTTGTTGAGTGGGTGGGTAGTTGTTGAGTGGGTCGGGTGGAGTTGTTGAGTGGGCGGGGTAGTTGTTGAGTGGGCGGGTAGTTGTTGAGTGGGCGGGTAGTTGTTGAGTGGGCGGGTAGTTGTTGAGTGGGCGGGTAGTTGTTGAGTGGGCGGGGTAGTTGTTGAGTGGGCGGGTAGTTGTTGAGTGGGGGGGTAGTTGTTGAGTGGGTGGGGTAGTTGCTGAGTGGGCGTAGTATGTTGAGTGGGCGGGTAGCGTTGAGTGGGCGGGGTAGTTGTTGAGTGGGCGGGGTAGTTGTTGAGTGGGTGGGTAGTTGTTGAGTGGGTCGGGTAGTTGTTGAGTGGGCGGGGTAGTTGTTGAGTGGGCGGGTAGTTGTTGAGTGGGCGGGTATTTGTTGAGTGGGCGGGGTAGTTGCTGGAGTGGGTGGAGAAGTTGTTGAATGGGCGGGAGTTGTTGGGCGGGGGGTAGTTGTTGAGTGGGCGGGTAGTTGTTGAGTGGGTGGGGTAGTTGTTGAGTGGGTGGGGTAGTTGAGTGGGCGGGGTAGTTGTTGAGTGGGCGGGGTAGTTGTTGAGTGGGTGGGGTAGTTGTTGAGTGGGCGGGGTAATTGTTGAGTGGGTGGAGTAGTTGTTGAGTGGGTGGGGTAGTTGCTGGTGGGCGGGGTAGTTGTTGAGTGGGCGGGGTAGTTGAATGGGCGGGGTAGTTGTTGAGTGGGTGGGGTAGTTGCTGAGTGGGCGGGGTAGTTGTTGAGTGGGCGGGGTAGTTGTTGAGTGGGTGGGTAGTTGTTGAGTGGGTGGGGTGAAGGTTGAGTGGGTGGGGTAGTTGTTGAGTGTGCGGGGTAGTTGTTGAGTGGGCGGGTAGTTGTTGGAGTGGGCGGGGTAGTTAAGGAGTGGGTGTAGTTGTTGAGTGGGCGGTAGTTGTTGAGTGGGCGGGGTAGTTGTTTAGAAGGTTTAACTTTATTGTTTTGTTTATCATTTGTGTTTAAACTGACATTGAATGGTTAAAGAAAATAAACTTTACTAAGGGGTCCCGCTTATGACACTGAACACCTGCTGTGACACTAACGACACAGGTGGCACTCAACACCTGCTGTGACACTAACGACACAGGTGGCACTCAACACCTGCTGTGACACTGGCGATACAGGTGGCACTCAACACCTGCTGTGACACTGACGATACAGGCGGCACTCAACACCTGCTGTGACACTGACGACACAAGTGGCACTCAACACTTGCTGTGACACTAACGACACAGGTGGCACTCAACACCTGCTGTGACACTAACGACACAGGTGGCACTCAACACCTGCTGTGACACACTGGACGACACAAGTGGCACTCAACACCTGCTGTGACACTGACGACACAGGTGGCACTCAACACCTGTTGTGACACTGGCGACAAGACGTGTGGCACTCAACACCTGCTGACACTGACGACACAGGTGGCACTCCCCAACACCTGCTGTGACATCAACGACACAGGTGGCATCAACACCTGCTGGACACTGACGACACACAGGTGGCACTCAACACCTGCTGTGACACTGACGACACACAGGTGGCACTCAACACCTGCTGGACACTGACGACACAGGCACCCAACACCTGCTGACACTGACGACACAGGTGGCACTCAACACCTGCTGTGACACTAACGACACAGGTGGCACTCAACACCTGCTGACACTGACGACACAGGTGGCACTCAACACCTGCTGGACACTGATGACACAGGTGGCACTCCAACACCTGCTGTGACACTAACGACTCAGGTGGCACTCAACACCTGCTGGACACTGACGACACAGGTGGCACTCAACACCTGCTGGACACTGACGACACAGGTGGCACTCAACACCTGCTGGACACTGACGACACAGGTGGCACTCAACACCTGCTGGACACTGACGACACAGGTGGCACCCAACACCTGCTGTGACACTGACGACTTTAACACCTGCTGTGACACTAATGACGCAGGTGGCACTCAACGCCTGCCCAAACAGTTGTTATTGTAGTAACATCTACAAACAGTTTACTATCACACGGATCTCAGAGGATTTACAGCTGTTCCAAACGTCAGATTTGGAGAAAGTTAATAAATTTGGGTTTTCAACATTTCGTTTATCTTGACCAAAATAACCTATGACTACCATGACCAGACAGATATTAGGAACAGTATCTACGTTGTTTGTGTTTTAATGATAATCACTAACGAACATATAACTCAAACACCCACTTTATAGTTCTTAATAAATTCAGGTGAGTCACGCACACTAATTATCTAATAAAACTCATATACTGTATTCATAAAACATTAATACCGACCTGTTAATGTCCTGTAATGAATGATCACTGATCAGGTGAGAACATCATTAACATTAGTAAAGCTCTCTACAGGTGTGTTGTTGTACTGTGTCTACCTGCAGTGTGTTTTACTCCAGTAAATATTTCCAACAGTAAAACACAGTCAATGGAAGATTTTTATGTATTTTGCACTGTAGCCCAGATAATGGTTAGATGCACAATACTAATCCATGAGGCTTGGAGTAAGGCGTATAGACTATTAAGTACCACGTAACTGAACATTGCCGCAGGAACACCTGTACTGTGCAAACATTTAAGGAGAAACAGAGTGTCAGTTTCCAGGCAATGAAGGTACATCTTTGTCCACAAAATTCCAGAATGTAATGTAACAAAATGTTATAAAGATATGATGTTATCATAGCCAGCGCCAACTCACTGGACACTTCACAGGGCGTGAGAGATGAAGGGCGCCTGTGGCTCCACGACCCAACACATACACAGACACAATAATGGCCCTTTGAGTGTCTCCCCCTTACATACCAATCTTATTAACGGAATGCCGGTAGTGATCAGCTGGTGTAACTGATGGTTTGTTGCTAGAACAAAAGTTTCTCTTGTTGAGCTGTCTCCTCCCTCAGTATGTCTCTCTCTCTCTCCTCGCCCTCCTCTTCACCCACCTTTTCACAGTAACGACTTCCATCAGGCCCTCTGTCAACAGCCGTCGTCACGGTGGTTAACCAAACCAAGTGTTGCAAAAAACACTATTGTTGCAAGATGTTCCAGGGTGAGGGGGGCGAAAACCCGACGGCTGTCCATCAACTACAGGATAAATTACTGGCGGCCACTGTTGCCTCAATCCTGGGCTCGGGGACCACCCTGCCCACACCCGCCTCTTACGGCTCACTCATCTTAATCTACCGTGCTCTTCAATTTGGTTTCTCATTAAATCTTAGGATCGATATATTACCAAATTTAAAAATTCTGAAGTAGAGATAGATGACCAAGTGGTGATGGTGGCGGTAACAGGTATATGGTGTCGGTGGTGGTGGTGGGAGGCTGAGGCGGCGCGCCCCTCACAATAGCTGCCCAACCCACCGCTGCAACAAACCAACAATCCCGTCGACCGTTGAGCAACACGCGCTAAAAAATGATCATCCCGGCCATGCAAAATGAGCGGGCGATCTGCAACGAAAGGGTGAGGGGGTACGGGGGAGGGGGAGCAATAAAGGGGTGAAAAGGCCGGGGGCAGGAGGAGGGGGCTGAGGGAAATAAAGAAATGCAAAATGACCGCGGCTCTGCAACACAAGGGTGGGGTAGGGGGTTGGAGGAGGGGTTAGCGAGTAGGTAAGAGAATGGTTTCCAGAAGATAATGGCGACCGAGCCCTCCCTCCCGCCCTGGCTGCAACTGCCACCATTGAACACGTCCTCTCAACGGTATATGTTCTGCCTATTTCTTAACGCTACGCCATGTGACCTGTCTTGGGTATCCCTCCGATGCCTCCCTCAGCCGCCAAACACAACGAACTTTCTTGAAAAAAACAGGATTAATTGTTGTTGTTGATTTTATCACTCCAAGGAAATCTGTGCATATGTATAAAACTAAACACCTGCCATAAATATCTGTAAGTAAAAGGCATTAACAATTATCTAATTAACCTGACCTCATCTCACCACTCAGCCATCGTCAGCTAATTAACTATCACTGATACTGAGATAAGTGAAGATAGTACCACAAGCTTACAGTGTTATGCTCCCTTGCCTCCAGCTATTTGTACATATTCTTAATTCCCGGTAGGCTACTGATATATTTAAGAAAAGCACAAAATGATCTGTGGAACTCATGAGAAAGATGTAAAATATTGATATTAACTGTACTTGTGAGAAGACGATTGTAAAAGTATACAAAATGGAGCAGCAGTAGCAGTTGATGAAATGTGCCTGATGACCACAAAGTGATAACGATAGAGAGAGAGAATCAGCAAAATAGTTAGAAAGTTTACACTGAATCAGTCTGTATATAGACAATATAGGTACAATGTACCCAACAGTGCAAGTACTGGATGCAAACAATTGGAAACAGTAAGTCGATTCGACCAAAAAATAACCCAACAAAGTTAGCCTTAGCTTAGGTTGAAGGACTTATCAGTAACAGTAAATCTAAGAAAACAGACTTGTAAATTTGTGATTGAATAAAACAAGTACAACATTACACTCAGACTATCCAAGACTGATGATGGATCACTGTAAAACATTCATTGGTTAGTTATAAACAAAATTATTATTCTCTGGTAAATTCATTGACCATTTTTTAATTCACCATTTCTACAATTTATCAGCAAACTAACCGTTCCGACGGTTGGTCTGTTCTTTGTTACTTTGTTACAACAGGAGGAAACTTGAGCGCCCAGGGAAAACCTGCCTTGTTAGGTAGGGTCACACTGGAAACACACTTCTCACATGTGACCCAGGCCGAGGATTGAACCCAGGATACATTGTGATAGGAAAGCACCCTACTGTTACTCTGAAACGGTACACGTGTGTAGCTCCTCCAGTACATATGAATTGTTTTTCGCAACTTTTTGCTTACTGTATGTACTCTCTTACTTTAACAAGTGAAAACTTATCAACTTAATCTATGGATACTGTATACCTCCACTGTTCATGTAAAACGCATACCTATATTGACAATATACATGCTGAATCAATGTAAACTTGTATGACGATTTTACTGAATAAATATACCTGTATTTCACCTCTTTACCCCAGCAGTCACCGGGGAAGCTCATTCTCACAGCCCCTCCAGAACCCATTTTCTACAGTACACATCTCACGACACACCACCACTCGACCCGTTCCTTTACAAATTACAGTAAGATTATGTTACTAAGCGCAACCCAAGAAAATATGTATAATTTTATTTCCATTGGAGTCATATGTGGGGTTGGGAGCCTATCAGCCGTGTCTCCCAGAAGTCATTATAAACTTTGAGAATATCCCAGGGAAGTACCTGCATGTGGATGTGGGTGAGCATGTAAGTGAAGTGGTGTGAGAAAGGCAGTCGACGATGAAAAGCGTTAGGGTGGAGGTAACTGTGTGTGTGAGAGTGCATATTTACCTTATTTTCCCGATGACCACTCAAACTAGAAGTGGCCATACCGAGGGAAGGATGTCAATGGCCTATGTAGGATCCCTCCATTGTTCTTGATAGTACAGTATAACAAATAAGTGTACATATAAGCTCGTGGGAATGCGTACATACGAACGCATTTAAGGAGTATAAGTAAACAGGGATAGAAAGGCATACTTACAAAATTACTTAGGAACGCATGCAGGAGTCCAAGCCGCATACACATTGAGTGCGTGAGAGCGTGTAGGTGTCAGCATGTGTGGATATGAACACAAAGGAGAGCCGCGCCCCTCAACCGGGATAATGAGGGTGAAATATTAGAGTAATGCGTGATGACACCTGGTAATCACAGGTGCACGAGGACCGGACACCACACACCAAACACGGGCTCATCAACCATCACTAATACTCGTTGCGTTATTGTGTTGTGATTTTGGAAACACAAGGAAAACCCCTTAACACCCAAATAACAATAATTTCCCACGTTTAGTAAAAGAAGCTTACTCCACATTCGACAAGAGCAGAAGAAACTGTTTCAGGTTTAAGTCAAAACAAGAAACAGGCAACACAACAACAACAACAAATTACAACTTTTGAAATAAAAATAATATTACCAAGAAGCTACTGAGTTCATAGGAGCCAGTGAGCGATGCTTGTGATGTGGGGCGTATTAACCGCTGACACTACCACACCGAAACATCTAATATACTATAACATTACAACATTGATATAATTTCAAAAAAGCTATAATTCCAGTATATTTATTGATGCAAAAAATTCTGACTGGTCTGTGTATGGAGATTATCATATAGATAACTATAATATAAACTGTAAATAACATAATTACCAACATAAAAAACCTAACCTAACTTAATTTAGGTATATTTTGGCTATGTTATGAATAATAAATAATGTCTTAGGTGAAGCAATCAATTTGACCATATCTGAACTACTTTATACTCTAATAAGTTTTTACAGCAATAATACCTGCACGTTATTCCTACCAGGCAAAAACTCCATTTACATTTGAAGGCTTAATCTGACTATAATCCCCTCATTTAGTGTGATATTACCCGTATATCCGTCAACGCTACTGCCATAATCCCCCGTAAAACTTGACAGATTAAACATCATAAAACGATACAAAAATACACACACCCTGGTCATGACGCATTCCTTCTTCACACTGTGTATTATATTAAAAGTTTTTAAGTGAACTGTTTGCTGATCATACAGTCCTCTAAAGTAACTCGATTATACTTGATCATATGTTTATATAGGTTTATATACCTGCTTTGATTAAACTGATATGTCAGGTTTTGTCTTGCTTTTTTTTAATGGGGAAATAGCCCACCCGGGCAAAGAAGTCAGTGACCCACATCGGGGGGAGGGGGAAACAAATTGCATCTTAGAAAAAAATAAAACAAGAGTGAGAAACGATATACATGTTGTTGTCAAAGTAAGAGAAACAATTAAGACCCTGCAGTTGTGTGTAAATGAGGCAGAGTCTGCCAGACCAGCAACCTGGGACTGTGATGCCATATAGCAACAGGGTCTACCATGACAACACATTATACTTCCAATATCTTCCCGGGCGGTAGTACCTCCCTGTTTGGTATACAGTACTACCTACCTTAAACATGGGAGAAAATCCTCTGGATGCCCAAGCTTGCCAACAGTGCGTAACAGAGATCCAGTACACCCCCAGAGCCAAAAATGCCTAACAGAGACGTGACTGACTTCTTAAGCTACTAACAGGCCAATCAAGGAGGAACAGCCTAAATAAAATAAAGAACAGTACACTAAAGTAAAATAATTGCTCCAGCTTACAACCACAATAAAATATAAATGTTCTCCCAACTAAAAGTTCCATTTTCTTTTAAAACAACAGAGAAAATGGACATAAATAATGTTTCATAACCGAGTTTAAAGGCCGAACCTAAACTTTGAATGAGTTTAAAGGTCTTACCGTAGTATTACTTTTATCCTCTTCGCCACTGATCGGCTTGTTAGCTAATAATAACAATTACAACAACAATAATAATAATACGAAGAATATAGGTCATATGCAAGGGAAACGTCATAGAAGAAAAGTGTCTTAGATATATGTGAACTATTGATTGCAGAGATAAAATTCTTGAAATTAGGTTGGTGGCAATAATAACAATAATAATAATAATAATAATAATAGTAATAATATTATTATTATTATTATTATTAACCACGTATAGAAAAATTATCTGCAATATAATGTACTGAATTCAGGTCAGTTATATTAAAGAAATTAACCTTACCGGTATCTATAGAAATTTGAATAAAAACTTCAAATAATGTAATTAAGTAAATTTTTTAAAAATAAATTTTACATAACAGATATTAGCAAAAAAATGGATTTCAGGATTATTCGGAATCCTAGTACTATATTGGTTTAGTTAGGTTATATTAGGATATGTTAGGTTAGATAGGTAAGGTTAGGTTAGATTAGGTTTGGCTAAGTTAGATTAGATTAGGTTTGGTTACGTTAGCTTAAGTTATATTATGATAAGTTAGGTTTGGTTAGGTTAGCTTCGGTTATATTACTTTTACTTACTTTTATCCTCTTCATCACTGATCAGCTCGTTAGCCGCTTGGGTGATCGGTCACGTCTCTGTTATGCACTGTTGGCAAGTACTGGGCATGCACCGGCTCCTGAATGTACCTGAACCTGCTCCAGTGTTGGTCAAGAAGAGATTACACGCAATGCCGTCACAACACTTTCTGGTAGATTGTTTCAATGGATAAGTTAAGTTAGGTTAGGTTATGATACATTAAGATTTTGTAAAGACTGTGTGAGGTTCCACTCCTGTTTCACAAGTGATGTTTCTATCCCATTATATCTATTTCTAGGTAAAAAAACTGTTATCATCCTTTGAAAAATTCGGTAGTTTTTCTAAATACCGTACAGAACATCGATCCTGTCTATGAACCGCTTTGATATATCGTATTAATCTTTACATAAGACTCTGTAAGACTAAAATTTCTAACTCATTTAATGATTACGTATCTCGGACGAAGAGTACTGACCAAAGAAAATTAATTTGCAGAGAATGGCATCAATGAACTTCCGCAGTTATCCCAGACAATACAAACAAAGGTCTTGGACCCATACACACACACGCGCGGTTTGAGGGAGTTACTCAGCGAGTCTCAACTCCATTTTAACCAGTCATTTTAAAGCACATATCCACGTGAATTTATGAAAAATTTGGGTTATAGTTACAGGATGATAAGTGTAAAATTAGTAATTATAAATAGGCTAACATTCTACCTCCACTTAGTAGTTATTTTAGATATTATTAAGGCATATATACATAAATTATGCATGTTCTCTAGCTAATAAAATGTGACGCTCACGCCATCAAAAACGTAAAATTACACTATGACACTTTAAGAATGTTGCTTTCATTGGTACCAGATATAAAAATACCCTCTACTTTAAGTTAGGTATGTTTTCTGAGAAAAAAAAAAGGGGGGGCTTATTTGCATCGGTTCAAACCACCATTCTGAATTAAGTCCTTAGCCTTTGGTACATAAGGAGTCAGTGTGGCCATTACTGCACTCGACTGTCTTCACTTCTTCAACAATAGTTAGGTATCTATTCACAGCTGGGTAGACTGGTGGTGCCCTGAGCACAAAAAGGTCAGTAAATCCATTACACTCATTTTATTATTTGTTGATTTAGGTAATTTATCTCTTTTTACCTGTTTCTGTATTATAGTGAAGATACAATATGTTGAGAATGGCTTCCTTAATGTTTGACTGCTGGAGAAGTCTGAAGCCTGAATCTACTAAGCAGCTAGTCTAAATTAATGTCTCTTTTCAGTTTGCATCTGTGCAGCTGAATCAAGAGGATAAAAATTATCACCATTAAGTTCGATGATAGATGGCTGTACATTACCGTCCAAAAGAGTGTGTATATTCTCTTGGGTATAAAACTACGACTAGACTTAAATTCTGTACATACATTGAACCAGCAACTGTGATAAATATTGGAATATATAGAATGTAAAACTGTGAGGCTTGTCCATAGAGATGATGTTATATTCTCTGTTTTTTATATAGTAGTTCAGAACCACTAGGTTCAGAATGATAATTTTTGGAAATTTTAAGATTTAACCCTTTTACAGAGGGAGGTTACCCTAAGCTGAATAAAATCGTCTGGCGGTAGCCAGAATACAATGGTGTGTGTGTAACACCCGGTGAGAGGGTTAATGTGGTGTTGGGTAAAGAGTGAAATGGCTATTGAGAGAGTTACTGGAGTACTGTGCGTAGTTACAAATTGTCTAGGTGTGTAAGACCAACATGTGGAGTGATCTTTGCCCCACCCATTTGAAATTCATTTAAACAGTGGTCACAGGATTGGGGTTGGTACTTTATTCTCTAAGTAAAGAGAGTCCGGTTCTCTTGGTTGGCATTCACTCTAGTTAAACGATTGATTTATATTAAATTCATTGACTTAAAACAATTTCTCGTGATCACTACTGGTGTTAGATAAGAGTAACTACATTTTTAGTAGTGGCCTACAATCTGTTTCACTAAATGTTATGCTGTGGTCGTTAACAAACTTTTCAAATATTTATATAAATATTTACTTACATACTTTATTGTACAATATTTTGTTGATCAAGTGTTAACATACGATTGTTCACGAGCTAATGTTTGTTTTATAAATAATTCGGTCTAATTCTGTTTTGGATTTTAATACTATAATACAGGCAGTCTCGGAGTTACTCACTCGTTATGTTTCTGGACCTTGTTCATAAGTCGGAACAGAGTTAGTTCCATAGGTTAGGTTAGGTTAAAGCACAACCCTGCACATACAAAACAACATTAATATCTCATACATAACAAATAATGTAAATTCCGTAAATAAAGTGAAGTAAAAAAAAATAGAATAATGAGATTAACGTAAAAAATGAGATTTTAGTTACAGATTATTGCGATGGATATAATGGGATCCCATTCGCAAGCGTGGGTATTCGTGAGTCGTAGACTGCCTATAATTGTGAATAATTCTGTCTCCTTACAAGTTGAGTCCTAACTCTGAAGACCTTTAGGGTTAATTTGGTAATAAAATTTTATCCAAACTAAAAGACTAGGTGCTACACATACAAAAACCAAAGTAAACCAAATACTGTACAGTACTCAAACCCCAAGTAGTCTTTTGGTATGTGATACTACTACAATAGGAAATTAATATAATTCTGAACTCCATAGAATATATGCAACAATTTATGTTCCCATTATATAATTGAAATATATTTGTGTTCACATTAACAAAAATACACAATGTGTAGACATAATTTTATTTATATGTCAGTAGATTTACATACTTAGGTCAGATAAGTGTAAGTTATTAGAAGTAGTACTAGGTAATGAGTCAACACACAGGACAAATATTTCAGCGAGTTCACCTGTCCTCCGGTTGCAAATGCATTAAATTTACATAAGCTTATCAAAGTATGGTAGCATACACTAATACTGCTAAATCTATGTACTTAAATAATTGTTCTATATGACATTGCACTTGTATATCAAAACATCACTGAAAATCAATATTTACACACCAAGAACAGGTGAACCTAACCTGCAACCATGTTAGCCCATCACTGGAGTCTTCATGAACTCAAGAGACTGTGATGCACCATCCCTTCTTTTATGATTTATTAACTACAGCATACCACCAATTGTAACATCACTTTGAAATAAATATTGTTTGTAAATATTGAGGTCAATAGGAAGTTTTAGACAAAAAATGATAAAAATAATTTATAAAATACATCTGAAGTGATAAATCACTTCCAATTCCTTGTACTTTTATATGGTCATAACTATGTACTGTTCAAGTATCTAATATCTAGTGTCAAAGTATAACACATCTTCACAAGCAGTGATGATAGTTTGATGTTGAGCTTTAAATAACAAAGCTCTGACTGGGGAAGCTTGAAATTAGGGAGTAAAGGCAATGCTGCCACAAGACACAAGGGATCTGATCAAAATCTTCTGGACATCCATGAAGTTACCAGGGGGGAGAGCTTGACAGACAGCCAGCTGTAATTGAGCATCCCATGTGGTCCTGCCAACATAGTTAAGGTTCATCTACTGAAAATAAAAATGTTAAAAAATAATTTGAAGTATAATTAAGTGATTAATTCATTTTTTTTATGCATACAGTATACTGAACATAAAAATTGACAATTCCAACTGAAATGTGAGCTCTACTGTAATCTTTCACAAATACCAAGTCATTGTGGCTTACCAGCCTAAGGCACTTGGTTTATAAAATATAAAATGCTACATCATCTTTAAAAAATATGCCATAAGCATTCTTATATTATATAAACGAGCATCTTAAGATGGTTATTCAATGGTAGATATGAATTTAATTTTGACACTTTTATCAAGTTTCACTGATAACTTGAGGCTCCTTACTGTGGGAAAACCCCACACATATTTCCTGTTGTGTTGAATGGCATCAACTTACAGAAGGGCATAAGAAAAGTGCTGAACAATAAATAGGTTGCATGTTTTGTTAATTTCCTTAAGATTACAAACTGTGCACTGGTTGGACTGTGGATGTAACACTAAAGTGTATTTCAATTGGATTATAATTGTACAAAAATTTACTAATTCAAATGCAATTATAAAAAAAAAAAAATCTTGAGTTGGCCGCAACCCACTAGCCTGGCATGGCTGCTGCAGCAAATATTGCACTGGTGAAGCGTCCTGGAGAGTGTGGTCCCTGGCTCGCTCTAGGCCTGATCAAGGAATCCACAACACAAGTCTTCCCTTATATTAATATGGCCACTGAAAAAGCTATTCAAACTTGTGCCTCATATTTACTGATGCACAAATAATGGCTTAACAAAATATTTAAATACCTTGATTAATACATACATAATTAACTTTCAAGTTTGGCTCAAACAAACAGCATCACACTTTTACTACAGTTTTTTTTCTGTTTCCTCACACTTTCTTCCAGGATTTTCCTTATTTCATATCACTCGGTGAACATCAATGTACATTTATACCAGCACAATGCTAAAAATTTGGTTAGTTTTCATTAAAAATACAAATAAAATGAATGATATTCACACTTGCATACAGACATGGTTTGTATTTACAGGTATGAGTTCCATATATATATAAACCTTCAATTGTACACAAGTTATTCTTCTAAAGCATACATAGTCATGCCTGCCTTTGCATACACACATCAAAGACCTAAATTTGCATCATCCAGCAAATCAGTCTTATTCACCTATAACTACATGCTAAAGGGTCATCAGTTAAACCTTGTTTATCTGGACATGAGTTTGAAGCCAATTTATTTTCTGATCTTTAAAAAAATAATCTTAGTGTTTAATGTCATCTATACATGTCAAATAACAAGGTTATACTTTCTTGACTTGTAGCCCATATAAATTTGCAACAGATGTTGAAGGACAGACCAACTCTAAGGTGAGGACAACTTCAATTACAGCACAATAAATTCAGTTTGACAATGAAACCATAAAACGTATTAAAATCTTACTTCCATTTAATAGCCTTTTTTAATCCTTTCCTCACAGTATCTTGCTATCAAGTAAACCCTTATCTTAACTCCAAAACATCACCAATAGTAACTTAATAATCTGTTTTTCACATTAGCATGTCAAGACTGCAGCACAAGTTAACTTTGACCACACACTACAGTATAACTGCAATTTATAAACAGAAACAAGGAAATTTACATATGCTTCTCCATCTCAAAGTTTATGGCTTAATGAAGTGTTCTGGATTAAAAACAAGTAAAACTTACTGAACTGTTCATGAAGAGAGGCATGTCATACAATGTCAAATTAATACCAATATCATTAATTGTTATGTACTGTGTTGGGTCTGATTTGGAGTGTAGGCATAATTAGAGAAGGGTGTTTCAGTATGTTATTGGTTCCCTGGTCATTATTAATATATAGGTGGGGAGCATGGACTGTGAATAAAAGAAGAAACATATTTGAAGTGACAAGTGATGTGCTTGAGAATAATATATGAAGTTATTAACATTAAAAAAATAAGAAATACAGATATAAAGATGCGTGCAAGTAAAAATAATACTGGACAGAGTAGATCTCAGGTAGCATGGGTAGTGTGGACATAATGAGAAGCCTGAAATTGTAAGACTAATAAAAAAAAAGGCTTATAATTCAAAGGTGGATGGCAGGGGAGAGAGGGGAAAGATCAAGAAAGATATGGAAGGATGGGGTGCTGGAGGCACTTGAAGTGAGAGAGAACTAATTCTTGGTGAAGGACATGCTGCCAACTTAGGTAAATCATTGTGTGATCAGATTTGGGGCCTTGTTGTGAAGAGTTCCACAACAGAATACTTCTTGTACAGCAATTAGAATATGTGTATGAACGACAACTGATAAAAGGAAAAAATTTCAGTGTGTGTGTGTACTACTATTTAAATTAAATAATAAATTAGAACAGTAAGATTATCGTTCAAAATGTATCAAAGGTAATAGTCAACTGATGTCACTAATGCATTTCAGCAGAATTCAATAAGCCGTTCCAAATATTAACCAAAGTTAAGACTAGCCTTCACAATGAGCCGAGTTTGATCATGAACTACAACACCTGTTGCTGACTGTACACAAAAATAGACCCACAGAGACAGGTTTAACACTGTAATGAATGTTCTTACCAATACAAATGAGCAATGTATGTAAATACAGAACGTATCTACCAAATGCACAATAATTTTAGAATGGAAACTTTCAAAGTTGTTTTTTCTGTGTGTCTCTGGGCAGTGGTGAACTGGGCCAAAAGCCAAGTTTTTCCCTCTAACTATGAATGATATGTCCAAAAATTAAATAGTGGTGTGAGGGCACCAGCCGTGCAAAACTTTTTCTCAGAGCACTGAGATACCTTGTACTGACATCATAAGAGGACAAAATATATATATATTACACAGTCATTGTACAAACCAAGCAATCAACAACATAAAAGCTTGGAAAACCGTGAAAAGAAGAGAATAACTTGATAATGGTTATTCAACCTTCAAAGTACTGAGAAACACAAATTTACAGTCACAAAATCTACCTAACATAGTGTATTATTAGACACCTGAACTACAATTATGAAAAGATCATTTATATTCCAGTTTACCATCTCATAATGAAGACATGTTAGCGCCCAAAACCCAGGTTCAGTTATGTAAAAGTATACAAAATAACAATTAGTAAGTCCCTAACCACCCTAATGTCTTCCTCATGACCTGACACACATAGGCAGGTTAACTTCATCAACAAATTCATCTTCAACTAAATAACGTTTAATTCAACAGTGACTAATTTTTACAATAACATGAATGACCTGCCTGGTGCCTGAGGAGGACTGATGAATGAAATGTATTACTTAATGATTCAGAAGACCCCATTTCAATAGAAGAAAAATTTCAATGAGCACTCACATCATACTGCTAACTTCTCCACAAAACTTGCATTAGCTCATGTAAAAATTGAGACACTTACATTTTCTTCATTAAATGCTTAACATTCCTGGACATGTGCCTGAGCTCTAGCTTTCTAAATGTGCATAAATATACAGTGTGGTAAAAATTCTTAGGATAAAAGTATAGCATGAAAAAATAATTCAATCATCAGTTCCCTTTGAGGGATCATGTAAGAGTAATAACTATAAAGGACGAAACACTTTGATTACCAGCAAACAAAAATTCTAATTGCAGACTGCAATTTGATCATCAGCACAACAATTGAAACATTATTTTACAACAAATATATCCCAAATGTTGCACTATATATGGTAATACTGTATATGCAATAAATGCTGGATTTTTAATTGATATACTGCTTTAAAAAATACCACATATAAAGGAAACTTTTTTGGAAATTAATACAAAAAAGAAAGAAGTTTAATGTCCTAATAATATGATACAATGTACTGAACATGATGCATCCGTTATACAGTATGTGAGGGTTATGACCTGTCAGTATACATTTCCATTATCCAGCACCTAAGTTTCCAACTCGGACAACCAATTTTCCTGATAAATTGGATATCATACCGCTCACAACGGCTTCTCAAAAAGCAACTCGGACAGGCAAGCTTCAGTATCCAACATTATTTGAACTTTTTTACTGATTACAAACAATTTATCATTATACCCTCAACAAGAAGGTTACTACATATAAAATCAATAACTGATAATCAGTAAATCTCATAAAACTGTCATAGAGGCACTTGCTGAGATATAACTAAAAACTTTGAGATGGTGGATACCAACACTTGCCCTATACACTTCAGTACTACCCAAGTTCTTCAATGATTACAAGCCATTCTAGGATTCATCCTAGGATTCAACACAAATAGCAATTCCTTTCATTCAAAGTTTGTATTGAACATGTTGAGGTCATCAAAGTTAGCAGTGCCAGATTGATCAAGGATTTGCAACATATCAGTGAGTTCTGGCTGCGCTCCTGGTGCACCTCCACCTTGGTGACTTGCGCCAGAACCTGGGTGAACTGAGCTGGTGGATGGGCCTACACTTGCTCCTTCTGCACCTAGGCTGCCATACTGCCACATACCTGCAAAAAAATATTTAATTTACTGTATAATGTAGAAAAATAAATAAATATATATATATGCAAGTAAATCACTGTGGGTGTGCGTGATCCAGGTATATGCTGATAACCACAAGGAAAGAAGAAAACACGAAGTTCCCAAGCACTTTCGTGTAATTCACATCTTCAGGGGTGAGTACAGACTAAGGAGAAGTACAAAACAAGGTATATATATACAGAGGAGGGTGAGATCAAGTCCACAATGGTCAGGTATTAGGTAATGACCATACCAATCTTCAAAAAGCACCGCAGCAATTGGTAGTCAGGTCAGAGGGTAAGCTGACCCAACCTTCTCACCTGGTTACAGCTTACCCTCTGACCTGACTACGTGTGACTCGAACCCTCGACCTAATACGTGTGACCAGGGAACGCTATCAACCATGCCACAAGGACACTAAAAGCAATCCTAGACAATGTTATATTTCACACAAAACACAAAGCCTGTTCATTGAGCTGATGACGCCGTGAACCTCCCAATGGGGATTGCCCGTTCCACTATGTGGTGGGAGTAGCATTTTACCGAATCCAGCTGGTATGAAACACGAGGTACCATATATATTTCATTTTTAGTCCATATAACACGCGGACTTGAACATATATGGACTAAAAATGAAATACTGTATATATAGTCCCTCGTGTTTCATACCAATTTCATCATTCCAAAACACTTTTTAACAAGCTGCTTCCTGGACTACAGCTGTTCAGACTTAATGTGACTTGTGTCGTGTTTGAATCACAGCGTAGTGCTTGGCCTCTGAGGCTTTGTAGATGACTCACACACCCATCCTGCCATCTAGTGAGAGCAAGGAAAACCACCAGTGCATTTCCATCAGTTGATAAACTGTATTCTTTTGATATTTATTCATTAATCCTTTAAAACATATTTAAAGAATCATATGGTATTAAAAAGTCTAATGCTTCTCTAAAAAATTAAACATTAGACAAATTTAATGTATAATTAAATATCCTGTCATTTGTAAACAACCGGTGTGCTGCTGTATCTACTTCTATAAATCAGCTGCACAGATTTATTTAATTGATATCCTGGTATAGGGTACACTGTATAGGGGCTATGATATAATTTTACTAGGTTACACATTTAGTTATAGGCTGTGTCTCAATATGTAGTTAAATGCTTAAAAAAAAAATTAAAATAAATGCATTTGATAAACTTTGGCCTGGATTCCACTGGGTGAGTGGTAGGTCACCCAGAGGGGTCTAAGCCCAATATGCCCAAATTCCAAAAACAAAAAAATTCCAAATCCATATAATAAGTACAGTATTTTGATTAATGACTTGATTCTAAACTTCAGGAAAGAATTAGTACATGGGAGGAACTTTGTGCTGTTCTATGGTGTGAGGGCAGTTTTATCCAGAGCGATATCAGGCCCATTCAAGACTGATATTATAGTCTAAAACATGATTCAGGAATTATACTTCAGATTCATTAATGTTCAGTGTCAAGCAAATAAAAGGAGCATTGGTGTCAACTCAAGTTCTGTGGTGGAAGAAAGTCTAAAGGTGTTATAAAAACTCCACAACAAATCTAAAAGTACTATAATACAGTACTGTACTTTTATCTTCATTTAACGGATTAAGTTTACCTGATGCAGCAGCCGAGGTATATGAAGGCAGGGAACGACTCGAAGAGCTTAGTGATGTATAGGAAGGGGTAGACGGAGATCGTGATGGACTCATGCTACTTGGATAGCTGTATCCTTCAGCCTAGAAATACAGAAATCAGATTATTAAATAACTACTGTATAATGGAAGTATCCACACTGAAGTGCACACAATATATTCATTACTATTTTAAACACCTTACAAAACTCTGTTAATTGAACCTCCTCTGAATAGTATTCTCACAGAATCATTGTACTGTATGCCGGGTAATCTTTAAAGCCGATGATGTTAATGTTACAGCTACATGCACACGTAGCAACTTGTTGCCTACAGCTTAAAACTTATAAATCAAAACACTGGTGAAAGAGACTTTGAATAACAAATACTGTTTAAGAAAATTAAAACAGCCTGCTAAGGGTAAAAAAAGCTGTACCTGTCTGATATGTGGATTAGACCACGTTGTGGGATGTGCAGTGGTTGGTGGGGAAGAGGACTTGGTGATCCGTGAGATACTGGATGATGCTTGTGTTGTAAGGGGTGTGGCCTGTGGAGTGCTGGGAGAATAACTGCCTAGGGGTGAGGCACCTGCTTCATAGCTGCTGTACACCCCTTGGGTACTACTTGGTCGCCCAGAATCTGTAAAATGGGAATCAAAGACAATTTGTAATGAGTCACACCATTCAAGTGATATAAAAAATGAAAATTATTTAGTTCAATCTTGAGAATTCAAAGCAGAAAAATCTAGCACCTTCTGATACCCATAAAAGAATCTACCCAAGATTCCTGATTACAGAAAGTTAGAAGTCCTCAGATATTCAGAATTTTGGTGCATAAAACTGCAAGGATACAAGTCTATATCCTCAATTAATAATAAACCCTGGAAGACTTAAGCATTGAAACTGAAAACTATCCCAAGGACTGATTATATGATGTTACTTACTGTGGATGTGTGACTGGATCATGTGTGGGTACAGGTCACGTTGTCGTTGCAAAGAATACTCTAGACCGGGCTGGTGTGTCGCGTACTGATTGCTTAAAGAACTAACTTCCTGTTGTTCAGAGGCATTACCACTCATTTCACTTCCACCTTGTACAGTCCTGAAAGAATAAAATTATAATTTGTTAATGATTAATGGTTACCACTGTTCTCTTAAGATACTGCATTAAACACCTTTTTATTTAATTTTTTTTTCCTTTTACTTTTTTCTTATAGAAATTATGCTATTTATCATTTTTTATTTCATAAACTACACATTATACAGATGTTTTCCAACTGTGATCTGGTATAACTTGATTAAGAATCAGTATTTGAGTCTGTTAATCTCAATTATGTAACATAATGAAAGGGAACAGTGCATGTACCTCACAAAAACCTCTAAGACACAAAAATTTATTACAAAAAAGGCCAAAATAACTTGAAAGCTGAATGTGCATTAATCCAGTGATTACAATGATGACTATATATTGTGCACAATTGGAGACTACAGGCCTGATCAATTTACAAATGACTTTCATTCCAGAAAAACCGTAAAAACTTAAAATATCTACTTCAAATTACTCTAAAATAAATTCTGTACTGTCCAAACACACAATACTTTGACACAGTGAAGTGATCAACACTATTCAACTCTTCACTTTGGTTTTGATTAGAAAAGAAAGCCTATAAAATAACAAGTGCACTTTTGCTAACCATATGAACAAAAACTATAATACAGTACACTGTGAATATCTTACTTGGCAGCAGTATTTGTACAAACAATGTACTCAATGTCGTCTGTGTACGGGTTGAGGAAGGCGAATGCAGACGTTCGCAGCCACACCCATTCACGGTTCTTTCCTCGGAAACGGTACATGACAGACATCACCTGTCCTTTCAGCTTTAACACTGAGGAAAATCAATAATGGATAAGTTTCATGAAGTTATGCATGCTGCTCAGTTTTCGTAATCATTTTTGGATTATTAGACAATAGGTTGTAAGACCTATATTACCCTGATAGAATTAATGGCTGGATACACAGGTGAAAAATTGTACACAATATTTTACACTTCACATAGCATTTCTCACTCAGATGGTTCAGGGTTGAAGCAGTTCCACTAGAATTCTACTAGAAAAACTCTTTTTGTTTATTTTAATAGCAATAAATGGATATTCTATTCAAAGCTTCTGAATCCTACTGATTTAAATACTCATTGGACCTTAAATCAACCACTCATTCTTGTAGATTTGCCTGTAATTGAATTTACAGATATCTCACCTTGGTCAAAACTTTCTTTCATATGTGTCTGGTCTTCAGGATGGAAAAACTCAAAGCAAGGCTTAGCTAGTAGTTCCTGAGGGGAATACCCCAACACTGTCATCACACGTTGGTCAACAAAGGTGAACTTTCCATCCATTGCGTGGCGGGATATGAATTCTGTTAAAGAAAAGTAATATAATATATAAGCTAGTTCATTATTCATAATCAAGCTAACAATACACAGGTTAAAAACATTTATGATGAAAAACACAAGCAACACACGTTTGGTCTCCCTACCCCCTCTTGTAAGCCTTTTCCAGCATGATTCAGGATCATCAGAATCAAGAACAATACCAACTGTTTCATCATTCTCTGTTATTCATTTTCTAATAGAGGTAATATATGTTATGAACTATGGCATTATCCCTTAACAACATGGTCCAAATATAAATATTTGGTTTATACTTGTCATTTCATATGACCTCACATCATCCATCAGCACGTTCATTTGTATACTGTACTGTACATTAAAACACCAAGCTCTTTCATCAAGCAAATACACCATAGCTTTCTGGATGATTAATCTCCTTCTATACAATACTGTACCTCCTGTTGACTTTGCTGCATTTTTCACAGCTGACACCCATGGGGTTACAGGCAGTGGTTTTACCCAACAACTACCATAAAGTAATCACAATTCACCCATGCTAGCATGGAAAAGACTCTAAAATGTTGATGATAAATGATGATCATAATGTTGTGTTAATGATACCTCGTGTGTACTAATTGTAATTGATTTCCCCATCAGTACTTCCAAGACTTTTATTGATTCTATTGATCACTCGTAATACATGTAGAGCAAAATTTAACTTCACTTCCAACCATCATTCTATATTAATTCTTTTACTGCATTATTTACTTTCCTCCAATACCCTACATTCTTAACATGTAGTGAATATATATTTTACGAACCATTTTGTGAGTTTGATCCCATGAGGTCTGATGTATTAGGTGTTGAGGTAACCTGAAGACGACCAATTGCCACTAAACAGCAATGTGTTGAACCATGTGCTTCTTCTTCACCACGCTCCATCTGTACCAGAAAGTATCATAATAAATGTAAGAATGTTGATGTATTATTTCAGATAATTACCATTACTCTCCTCGAGGGTTAAATATGAGTCTTTTTCACACTACCCCGTACTGTATAAGGGTGCTCATGTCATACTTCATTTACAATACTTTTTATTAAATAACAGCTTAGTTATTTAAATTACACATGTCCATTTATCTATCCACAATTTACCTTAATCATACTTGTTACTAATCATCTTATCATCTGGTGTATTTGTTGAGGTAATCAGCATGTTTGCTCAACTACAGTACACTATCAAGCAGTCAGTATTATACATCTTATGTGTCGAACAGCTTATTTCTACTTATAAAACTGTTTTCCCACAAATGATTCTTACCATGTGAGTGATTTTTTTTTGTAAATGTAATCCACATTAAACCACAGAGGCTTAAGTACATCCAGAATAACACATAAACACCAAGAAAGTGACATTGAAAAACGATAGATGGTGAGTAATTATCATTGCAAAGTAATTAAAATTTTTGTGATGTTAAAATTTTTGAGATGTTATTTGGATAAGAAATTATACAGATTTAAACTCTCAAACACAAAGAAGATTTAAAATTAGAGGTAAATAGCATACCCAAATAAAAACACACACACACACACACACAAAAATGTCAGTAATTTACTGGACAGTTAAATAAATTCTATGTGGTACAGCAGACATAAAACTTACTTGAACTCCAGTTGGGGGCCAATTCTTGATATACCCTGTACAATGGACAACAGCATAATTGTGGCCATCAGTGGCAGGACCTAAGGAATTTCTTTGTCGTAGTCTGTTCAAATGACCAGAATTCATATTCTCTGGAGTAACTGTGCCTACCTTCATCCGACAAATAAACCCTCTTCTGGAGCCCATGCACAATCTCATTGATGCTGTAAAAGATTGTAATTGATCAATATTCAGAGTAAAATATGTAACAGAACAAAAACTTTGCAGGTAACAAACATTAGCTTCCTATAACAATCTATGATTAGACAAGTTTATAAAGTTTATATAGTGAAAATTAGTCCTAGACAATGATACCATCCTTGTATAGCACAGACAGTGTTACCCAGTTTAAGCAAACTTGGAACAACACTATTTGCAAATAATAAACAAATATTTTGCTCCCTAAGGAGGTAGCAAATATCAATTCACAGCTGGTATACTTGTGATACATGCTAGCAATTACAAACTTTTAAAGCAAAAAAAAAGAAAAATTTTGTGTAAATAATTTATGTACATTGTGCTTCAATATTGTACAAGTACTGTACAGTATAGTGCAATTAATGACTAAACTTTCTTTTTCAATATTACTGTACAGGGTGTATCACGACTACTGTACAGAAAATTAAAAAAAAAAAATCAACAGCCAATTCCTAGGATCAGTACCCTTCAGATATGTTTTATGAACATGGGTCTGATTCTCAATGGTTACGGAAATATGGGTAGATGTAAAAATAAGAAACGATGATTTGATCAATAAGAGGTTGCTAATTGTAACATGTTTTGAAATTGTACAGAGGTTACAGTGTTGCTTAGTACTGTCTCTGCTGGTATAATAACTGCTCAAAATGGCTGCCTTGAGCTTGTACACACACCCTGGTTTGTTTGACCAAGGAATATGTAACCCAACAAAGACCCTTAGGGTCACTCACTCGTCTTACAGCATCACAGCATCAAATATTCGACAAAATGCATACCGGTATCCTCGTACTGTATTCCTCTTTGGAGACTCAAAATGACATGTTCACATTCTGCTACCTAAAACAATGCAGTGCAACTTAGCAGGTATTGTCCTTTGATGATGCAGCACAAACTCTAAGCTGTAATACCCTCTGGGCACAGGTACAAATAGTCTGTTGCCCTCAGTTCCAAAGATTCTCAAAATTAGCTACTTCAAGACTTGCCTTATGTTTCTAGAAGATATATTTTAGTTAATTTTTTCTCAAAGCAGAAAAATATGGACTGCAGAGAGAAGAAAATATACATATAAGATCCTCACATTAAGTGCCTACAACACTAATTTATATCATGATAAGTGGTTTACTTACACTGATGACCCTCTTTCTTGACAGTGCCAGTTTTGAGATCCAATATGCGTCCTTGATTTGCAGGTTCCTGTGTGCTCAGCTGTTCTCGGACTTTCTCTACATCTTCTGGATGTACATGTTCATATACACTTGAACCAAACCAGTCACTCTGTGTATAGGAAAACAAAGAGCATACTGTACACCATTGGCTAATGTTGTGGGAGTGTTCCTGAAGTGGTGAAGAAGATCTCTTACTCCAACCTTACAGAGAATAATCTGCAACTGTCCAGAAGGTGAAGGTCTGGTGTTCTCTACTGGAATTAACTCTTTAAGGACGATTTCCACAAGCGTTGTTAAAATTTTTCCCGCCTTCATATGAAAGATAATTCAAAGTTATTTGGGTCTCTAGCTAGCCTACCATGCATGTGAATTTGCCTAAGGAACACATTTCAATATTAAACAGGTCTAGGAGTAATTGTTGAACATCAGAATTTTGCTAATGATTATCACGCAGAGTTACCCCTTTGACACGTTCATATTCTCTCACAACTTATAATTTTCAACAATAAATCAATAGGTAACTACAGTACTAAAAAACAAAAAACAAAATCCAATATGATGGCTGATTATAAATAACAAAGCCATTAAACTCAAAATACTGGTAAGTAGGAATAAAACAGTGTTTGCTTTTTAATCCTGAAAAACTGTCACCCTAATCAGGTAATAGTTTCTGATGAAACATACCTGAGTAAAGTTTTTATATGAATGTACCGTAGACAATTTATTTTGTTGTGCTTACCTGCTATTGAGGTTTTTTTTAATATATACATAGGCGGGTATCATATTAGTTTATGGTAAATTTAAGCAGCATATATGCTGTATAGAGTAACTGTTCACATTTTTTTTTGTACTTGTAACAAATCCTGCAACCTGATGTTGTTACGTTACCTGCCTTATTTAATGAAATTCGTATCACTGTTTGTTAATAGTGTGTGTTATATTAGCCTGGTTATTTTAATGTGACTATATTTTGAAGATTTGTAGGTGTACATAATTTTCTGCATTTACAGTATGTCGTAGTACACTGGTCTCATGGAACATCGATGTAATGTACTGTACAGTATACATGTACTGATTTGGTGTCACAGTTTATGACACATAGATATAAAGAAAGATGTCTATTATGAAATTCTGTGTAAAAACATTACAGTATAATGCAAAAAGGGGCTATTACTCCACTACTACTACTATCTGTACTAATATTACAGCACAGTACAGTAGTACAGTACTATGGAAAGGAAACCTTATAATGTACTGTATAAAATTTCCATTGAGACATCTCATAAAATAAAAATAAATAATTGATTCAGTGTTTAAGTTTTAGTCATATTTATTCCTCGAGTCACTTACCTGAGGCTGATTGAGAACGGGAGTGACAGAGTCTGATGCATAAATAATTCTCCCATTGTCACACGCCACTACGAAGAGGAACCCATCAGCAGCTTCCAGTATTAAGTGTTTCAGCTCCTGGTCAGTGAGGAATGATGGCTTGTAGGTTCCATCTGTGTTGGTATTGCCTGTACCTGAAAAAAAATTATTGATTAAATATTTTGTTGTAAAACTGTTAATGTTATTACATGGTAAAAGAATCTGCATCTTTCTCTCTATGATATGCATTTTATATGTCTTAAGGAAGTTCTTGTAAATTGTAAGAAAGAATATATATATATACTGTATATATATATACTGTACATAAAGTTAAACAGACAAATATTACACTCTACTGTTTCAAAGTTAATTTCATCTGTTAAAAATACTACAGTAATACAGTATTATCACTGAAAACTTCCAAAAATCATAAATGTATAAGTGAAAGTGTAATTCACTAATAAACATCTCCCTAAAAGATGTCAATAAAAGCTGTAGGTATATGAAAATTATACAGTACAGTACTTTATTATGTAAATGTTCAACAGGATCCCAAATCAATAGCATGCATAACACTTGTTAAACATCCAGTATACTGTACCTGTAAGTTTCTAATAAAAAAATTAATAATATGAATGTGTAAGTGATTAACACTACTGATGAACAAATTAAGATACACAAGAAAACTAATTTAATCTTATGCTTTAAATTAAATGGGATCAAGCACAAGATGAGCCACCAGTAGGCACACCAAGTACATCACAAACAGGTCTTGGGATACACTACATATACAAACAAGCAAGGGGATATAAAGCAAACTTAGTATAGTAGTACAATTACCACCAAGCACAGACACAGCTGCTAATTTCAAGAGAGCTAAGGGTTATGATGACGAGTCAAGCAGGTGGATTAAACAAATACTGGAGGGTTATTAAGGGCAGGTTAAGCCAGGAGCACACACACACCAACCACGTCTTACCTCCCATAGAAGGATTTGCTCGAATGCATATATGAATGAATACATTATCATTTTACTCAAGGTAATGAGCAAAACCCTAGATTTTCCAGCAACAAGGCAGTTGTAATCTACTGTACTTCTAATATTCATAATGAATCCCAGTTAATACATGCTTGGCCAATTCTTGCAACACAATAAAGCAATAACCTTTTTTACAAACAGGATACTCTTGCAACAGAATGCAGTACCAGTTAACATAAGCCTGCCATAGGTTTAGAGTTTTTTAAGACTTAGGTAGTTATACAGTACAGTACTGTATATTTACCGCAATTCCAGTAAATATCTTCTAATCATTTTAGAGCCTTGAAAACTTACAACACGGTTGAAGCAATATAATTCACCTTACCTGGGACAGTTATTTGCTGGTGTTGGTAGTGTAATATTAATAACACCCATTACTCTGAGAGCTTCTCATTATCACTTGAGACAACAGTTGCTACACATATCAACTCATATGACTACTGTATATTTTTTTCTTAATTATTTAAGCAATATCTACTTATTTGTCAAATCCTACAACACTGCAGGCCACTGTCTAATAATTAAAAATCTAACTACTGTATTAATTAAATAAATTATCTCACACTACAGTAAAGCAGGACTTCATACTTTCTGGCTTTCATATCTTCACAGTCAATATTTAGGATTCAGTTAATAATCCTGAAATAAAATTTTTTGGAACATTTTATACCAAATTTTTAATGAATGAAATACAAGTTTAAGTTACTAATATTTACAAAAACGTGTAAATATTTTAAATATCTTTTCATTCTTTTATATTTCTCTGTAGCAATGTAAAAAGTTTTCTCCACTGTACATGTACTGTATTTTCATCAGGTAATATAGAAGACATTATTGTCTCTTTAAAAGTTACTACTTACTAGGTAAACCAAAACATATTAACAAAATAGTCCTCCATCACAATAATAAACCATATACTGTACTGTAACTGTACGATACTGCAAAATAAAAGTTAAAAGTTTTATTTTTCATGCAGCGTCACATTCATGAGCCAACAATTTTATGCTTCAGGAAAACATGTCCCATTACTGTTCTGTACTTTAATGATAGGCCAGAAGTATGAGGTAATCTGCAGGCAGCAAAAACTGACTTCACAAGAAAGTTTAAGATTTCCAGCTTTAAAAGTGGACTCTAGCAGAGCATCTTAATCTTGAGAGAAGGCAATGTGAGCAAAGAGCCAGGGACTGACAAACCAATCCAAGAGGGACAGCACGCTACGCACACTACGGGGGTCACCGCTTACCCATTCCACTCCCGTTGGCAATCTCCATACCTGGAAAACACACTTCCAGTCATGCTTGGGGTACCACAGAGAGTGCTAGTTGACTGAAGTACGAATTCTATATTAGCACTTACAGGTATATGATTCTGAAGCATTTAAGTGAGAACAAAAAAATGAGATTCCATTTGTTGACACCTGCAATCCTGCATGCAGTTTCACTAGCTTTAGTGCATAAAAAGGATGAATTGCAGTTCCAGAATTCAGACCTGCTTAAGGAAGGGGATGAAATGTGGACAATAGATAATTACTATTTAATATTAAAGCAGCTGAAGAACCACCTCTAAATTTTCAAGTGCCAAGGAAAAACGATTCTAATTTGAACTACATGTCCACATTTCATTGTCTCTTTAATAAAACAAAGAAACAGAAGGCTTGTGATCTTCTAATGTGCTTTCTATACCTAACTTTGAAAGAGAAGCAATTCTATAGGGGATTAATTCTCTATTACCATGTATTTTACAAAGATGCTCATATTTTAACTTGTAAACACAATGTTTCCAATATATTATGTGGAACAATCATCTTAGTGGCTACATCTAGTAATTCTTTCCCCAGTCGCAAAAAAGCCTACAAAAGCAACATCAATTATGCACCACTGAACTGCTAATGTTAACATAAACATAATGTGTGGGTGCTAATAAAGAATAATACTGTAATAACAAGACCACTCTCTAACTTAAATATAATGCTGTGTAATTATTAGTTGAAAGATTTTAAATACATTATGAAGCCATTAGCTAAAGTACAGTACAGTACAGTACAGTATAGTAATAAAGGGGGTCCCCAACTTATGAACGTCCGACTTACAAATGCCCACTGGTGCGAACGGGGTTAAACTTTAAATTTACAGTACTCTGTATTTTTTTACCTGATGACTTATTTTTTGCTTTCATTTGCTGTATTTTGTCATTATATTTCTTCTTCTGTCTTAAATTAAGTGATTTGAGATGTACGTATATAAGGACTTAGGCTATGATATAGTGGGATTTTAAACATAGTTCTTTAAGTATAAGGTATGCACATAGCATGTGTTCCGACTTACGTACAAATCCGACTTAAGAACATCCTGAAGAATGGAACCCGTTCATAACCTGGGGACCCCTCTACAGCACTGTATATACAGTATTGAAAAGCTATTTCTTTAATCCATACATATATATATTGTATTTTTCCTAAGCATTATCGTATACAGTGATAAACACATAAAGCCTCTGATTAAGTAGAGAATTGTCTTCCATAAGCAAAAACAAGGGATAGTACAGTACCACAAGTAAGCTGCACACATAATAAGGAGGGCTGTTCACTTTGAAATGAAACAGAGTCCATAACTGGACACTGATTAATATTACAAAAATAAATGAAAGGGCAAGTCAGAATATGTTAATTGTGTAGTTGCTTTAGTCCATCAATAAATCTCGGTACATGTAATGTATAACATTTATAGAAGGTGGTACATTATTGCCTTCCTAAAATGAATGTCAACTAAAATATTAAATTTTGCGGATAGTTAAGAAAAAAAAAAGCATACCAGGATCAAGCTGAATGTTGTGCAATGGAGGCAGTGTTGTATTTTCCTGGGGGTGAAAGGATGCGGATTTGCAACAAGACACGACATTGAATTACAGTACAGTACAGTAAATACTGTAATCTTGAAGTCAAAATTTATAAATGTAAATTATTAATAAAAAGGAATTTAATATATTTTTAATTTGTCTGAGGATTATTAGACAGGTAGAGGGAAAAGAAATGGATTATAGAAATTAGACTACAGTACAGTACTGTACTTTGTAAGTTGATATCAAACAGTAACCATGCACTGCAGTTTCATCTTGGCAAAAGTGTCAATGAATTTACCACAGTTTAAAAACTGTCGTGCATATTCTCATTCAATATTCAGTATAGAAAGATCTCAGGAGATTTACAAAACACATTCATACATTTGTGCTCATAATATGTTGAATTTTTTTTAAAGAAAAATAGGTTGTTACAGTACAGTATTTCAATAGTTCGTCACACCAAGGGGGGGGGGGGTCAAAATTAGGCAAAAGCCACTGCATCACAAGCTAAACTAATAAAAAAAAACGACATCATAGATATTAATAACCAAATCTTTTGCTCGCTCTATCTTACTGCCAATTCTTTTATCAACTGGTCCTACATTTCTGACTGGACCAGATGTGTTTCTAATCAAAGGTTACAGTCAACACCCCTCCCCCTCTCCAGCTACACCACTGAGTACAAGAAGTTTAGGTTTATAAAAAAAAAAAGGAGGGGGGGGGAGCATCATACAATGAGGGACTCGAACTTGAGAGATGGAAAGTCTTCAACTCTAAACATGGCTGATGTGAGACTATGGGATAATCAAAGACTGCTGAAGATTTGGGGATCTCTGTGGCTACAGCTCATAGTGCCATTATTCATGATATATTACCCGACTGAAGACAACAGTTCAACAAGTTCCGCAGGTATTAATAAACAAACAATGAGCGACAAGAACCTATTACAGCGTATTAGTGTCACACCAAATTTTAAATTAATTCATTAAATATATGGAGAGTTATAAGAAGGAAACTAATTTGTCAGATGGGTGGATGGGCAGACATCACTGCCACAATCCTCTCAACTTTTCTCCAGGAGTCAGTCATAATGAACTACAATAATACATATTGCTGACTGTACACCATAAAGGTGCCATTGAGAGATTTACGAAACCTATCATATGAATGTACAGTATATATTCTATTTACACAATACAAAATATGAAAGTTACGCTTATTGGGACGAAAATATAATTGAGCTCAGACAGTTTCAAATGGTCATAAAATCCATGAAAATTGCCTTGAATAACAGAGAAAGGCCTAATCTTCAGCACTTGGATGCTGAACTTAACCTTTCACTTCAATTTCACTGTATTAACCCCTTGTGTATAGGTTCCCCACTTCTAAATAGAATCGTCTGGTTAATATATATATATATATGTGTGTGTGTGTGTGTGTGTGTGTGTGTGTGTGTGTGTGTGTGCGTGCGTGTGTGTGTGTGTGTGTGTGTGTGTGTGTGTGTGTGTGTGTGTGTAGATAGGCGCGCGCGTGTATGTGTATGTATGTATATACAGGTATCACGAGACCTTCTAAATTTACCTAATTTTCAAGCTGTCAGAGAACAGGAACCTCCCACCCCTTACACCCATACTCAGGGTCATGCCCCCTACCCCTGTTGTCAACGACAGGTATGCACTAGCTGAACGACGGTATTTAGTTAATTCAAGAACAAGAAGCAGGGAAAAAAAATCATCCAGCCATACACCATTTTCTTTCCTATTACGGTACGCACTTCCAAGACTAGTTCTTGCACCTTTTTTTGTAGGAAACTGTTAAATTTACTATTTTAAGATTACCGAATTGGAACATGAAATAAAAGTTGTGAATCAAGACAAAGTCATGAAGGGCCCCGCTAATCCCACAACACAGTCTGACCACACCTCTTTCCACAGATGGTATACACGATAGGGGTTTGAATTTTGTACTGTACTTTGTGTTCAACATTTATTACTAAAACAATTTATGCACCAAATTCGAAGACGTTTCGTCCAACAGTGGTGCGGCCTGGCTGGCAGCATATGCGGGTTGAATGATAAAAAGTTCCAGCATTATAGATGCGGGACTTATTAAAACAAAATTAATTTTAATTAAAACACCATTGCAACATATACCCCATCAGTGGTGGTGGAGTCGATATCCACATGACTACTTAAAAGATGTTTTACGTAAAGAGCGCTGTGTATGCGCTGGAGGCTGGTAACGACGAGACCTTGGATAATAATACCTGTCGTCCCTCCAGTGTTCCAATCTCCCGCTATTGTGCCAGCGTCAATGGCGGCCAAGTTGCCACAAAATATTTCCAGAGAAAAGATTTTCAGAAAGAGACTTCTACGAACACGGCTTTCATTCCCTAAGACTTTCGACACCCACGAAATAGGTTAACGATGGAATTCCGGACAGTGTTTTCACGGTGTGAACACGATGAAGAGGAAATTAATGAGACAACAACCCACACTTCACAAAAACTGGCGGATGACTTGACACATCCTTATTGTCCCCACTTACTGCTAACACATATACTACATTACACTATTATGATGCCACTACCGCTGGATAATGTATGAAATATATCTATCTATCCAAACACTGACAAACAAGGCTTAGCTAAATCAGAAAAAAGGTTAATATCTTAAATGAAGATGATTAAACGCAAGTCATTAGCGCTTCAACAACAGTTTTTAATGATCTTATACAAGAACATCCAAGAGTTATTTCTCCTTTCTGAAAAGTCCAGGTAACGCAAATATTTAACCAGGGCAGTGTGGCGGCGTCCCTCAGAGCCCGCCAGGGTGACGGTGGCCGGGGTTTTAACCGATATCAGCGGGAAGGCGGCCCTGTATGAAGCTTGCATATCAACGAGCCTGCGTGGGAAACCATCCGTAAGCTGGCCCTGTGACCCCTCTCCCTACCATAACCTCCCCACCCCTGCCATCACCTCCACCCCGTCGCCATCAAACCTCAGCCGGTCCGACCGCCAGCCACCCCGCCCTCGACACACCTGCCCCAGCACATCCTACCTTGTTATCTACCGGTAAATAATTGACGGCAACCACCCATGAACTACTTAAGTTTTACCTACTTTAAACAAATGATTCACAAGAAGCTACGAGTTACTCTTCACTTTAATGAGATTTAGTACAACAGCTGCTAGCATTACGCTCATGACGCCCGCTTGTAAAACTGACGGGTACAATTTTTCAGTAATTACCATTGAACTGTGCAACGAAATGAAATGACCTTTAACAATGCACTTACCTACTTTCTTAATTGAACCCTATATATATATATATATATATATATATATATATATATATATATATATATATATATATATATATATATATATATATATATATTGTTCATAGTCATAACAATAACAATATATTCATTAAT